TAGCAACTCCATTCCGTGAAAGTAAATACCACTACTAGCGATAATTTAAAGCTCTAGCTTGAAGCCCTGTTTTCCACAGGAAATTTAAGGGAAAAATTACCTCCATACAAAGAAGGAACCTCGGAAACCACCCCACGGAGAATTCTTGACAATGCAGGAATAAACGTGTCTGGCATTCAGACCACCCACAAACTCAATTATAAGCAAGTTATGTTGGTTAAGGAATCCTGCCAGTGGAACCAATGAAACAAAACAATTTAGTTTATCTAGTACCCTGCTGGAATGACTGTCATGTGAAATACATAGGTCAAAGTGGTAGAATGGGGTCAATCACTCAGACGAGTGGAGCACAATAACCTAACAAAATCTAGATTAGTTGACCCGAAGAAGATCAGAAATCGGGAGAATAGTTCAGCCATAGCACTCACTACATGCAATTACACACAACCATACAATAGGATGATGGGATAATATGACAGTTTTAAAGTCTAACTGATATAATAGGATGTAGGGAGAGATTGATAACAGAAGCTTTGTTTATTGAATCAACTGCAAACACGTGTAATAGGAATGACTGAACACCTGTCCTAGATATCTGCAAAATTCTACTACCCCAACGACGACAAATAGGAGAGAACAAAGAAAACTATAAAACTCAAGTTTCGAAGTCGTGTGATTATAATTGATTGGTATGATTATGAACAGCAATAAATTGTGTTCGAAACTTTGTCATCCAGTAAATAATACTGTTTCTTCACTGTGTGATACATCTAATAAACAAACTAATATGGAAGAATTCACTCGAATATACACAACTTTACAAATAAATATTAGAGTATAAACCAATCATGGAGATTAGTCAATTGGGATAATAAGATTGTGCATGCAAATTGTGCAATCAGTCATACCAGCAATAATAATAATAATCCTATTAACAAAATAGAGTGATTTGTGAGAACTAGTAGGATTGTGGAAAAAAGTGGCTTGTTTATACGAACAAATGTTCAGATAGACATAGTCGGCAAAGGCTAAGAAAAAAAATAAACAGACTTATCATGTCATCCTAGACTGTAAGGCAGATGAATAAACTAATTTGTTCAGAACAAAAATAGTTAGAGCGAACAATCGTCGCTTTAAATAAATTCTTCTTCAGGTTCTACAATTATAAATCCATTAATTAATTTAAGCATACAATAGCCAGTCAGTCAGTAAAGGCAAATTAGAATCATATCAGAAAGTGTATTGTGGAACAATGCATAAGATGAGATGGAACAATAATCAGTTAGTTCTGAAAATGTGTGGCGAGTGAGAACATGAGATAAAATGAGATGAAGTAATTTGATGATGTGTGTATGTATAAATAAATAGTCAACAAAAGTACAGGTATTGGTTTTGTAGGGATTTTTTGTTTGATTGGATGGAGGATTTCATCATGAGCTGACATCAGTTAGAGAACCATTGGAAAACCAGCCAGGGAGTACTGGACAGCTGGTTCGACCCAGTTTAGGACTCTTCATCAGTAGGGTACAGCAGGTTGAAGATGAGGCCACAACTCATCGAAGAAGACATTCCGAAATGGTCGCGCTATGTCATGAATTGGCAGAAGTTAGAATTCAAGGACAATTGGATTGGGTCCCAGTGGCTCAACGGCCTACGAGCTCACCTTGTAACCAGAAGGTCCTGGGTTCGAACCCCAGCGGTGGCGGCGTACTGATGAAGAGACCCAAACTAGGACGAAACAGCTGTCCAGTACTCCCAGGTTTTCCAATGGTTCTCTAACTGATGTCAGCTGATGATGAAATCCCCCATGAAAAGCACAGGTTTCAAGCCTGCGTGTAATCAGTGGTGTGTGTGTGTGTGTGCGTGAGACAATATGAATGCCACAGAAAATAAACCAAGGAATGGGATGGACTAGACATAAGTTCAAGGTTGAAAATAACGACAGTAATAATTATTAAATATTCCCGTAGTAAAATTTAGAACAACACATTTAAGTGACCAATATTGTTTTCAATTAGATCTCATCAGGCTTAACTCTAATTTACATAACTTTAGAAATAAAAATTCAAAAATAAACCAATCATAGTTTTGCCACATCTATGTGCATTTTTCAATTCAACTGCACCTGCGATGACAGTTATGTTGGGCGTACTGCTAGACAACTTAGCCAACATGTTAGTGAACATCTCCCATTGTGGTTTGGCAAAAGACAGACTAAAACAATCCGTAGCTCAAATTCGTCACACTTAGTTGATAGTGGTCATGTAGTGGAGAAAACGAGAGCTTTCAAAGTAATTCTTCGTATCCCACCGAATCTTTCCAATACACTACCTATTCGTCTACTGCATACAGCTGAGGCAATAGGCATTCGTACTATTAAACCTAAACTATGTATTCAAAAGAGGCTAGTACAGCCATTATCGTTCCCTTGGCCTATTGAGATATAACCAAATGATGACTTCAACTACAGGTGGAACTGACGAGGATATCAAAGCAAGAATCGGAAAAGCAAGACAAGCTTTCACTACTCTCAAGTCTGTGTGGAGATCAATAGTACTCAGCATGAAAATGAAAATAAGATCCGGATTTTCAACTCCAATGTGAAGTCAGTGCTACTATACGGATGAGAGACTTGCACTGCGCGTCATAAAGTGTAACTCAAACAAACTACAGACCTTCACTAACAGTTGTCTTCGCTCAATACTCAAGATAAGATGGCTGGCCAGAAAAGATCAGCAACAGTGAGGGATTTCTGGGAGCGAACCGACCATGAACCGATTGTGAAACAAATATGCAGAAGGAAATGGAGATGGATTGGCCATACTCTGAGGAAACAAACCATCAAGTGACATCACTGGACAAGCCATTGCTCGAGTGGAAACCGAAAGGGAAGCGTCGAGTTGATCGTCAGTGCGAGGGTTACATGGAAGAGGCCATGTGAAAAGGAGATGAAAACGTGTGGGCAGACTTGGAGCTAGGTGAAGACTCTAGCAGAGAGCCGAACGCAATGGAGACGCGCGGTTGAATCCCTATGTCCCTCTAGGAATTAAAGGAAACGATAATAATATAATAAAAATGATGACTTCTACACCACCCGTTATTTATATTTTCAACTCCTCTCTTATCATCCCTTAATCTTATCACATCTTCATTAAAAACGTGTTTCATTTACTTCCCTTAAAATCTAGCATCACTTTGTCGGTTCATTTGTTTTTCTTAGCCTTTATCGACTACTTCTACCTGAACATTTGTTTGTTTAATCATGCTGTTTTTCGTCATTCTCATTATCACAGGTTGCCTCACTTTTTCATGCTTGTTATCCATAGAACCATTATTACGATTATCATCATTACTATTATTATAACTAATTGCACAATTTATATTCACCATCTTATTATCCTATAGACAAAACACCATGATTGGTTTATATTTGAATTTTTATTTGTAAAGTTATGTGGGTATACTAGAGTTAGGCCTGATGAGATCTAATTGAAAGCGCAATATTGTTCGCTTAAATGTGTTGTTCTAGATAATAATTATTGTAAAATAATAACGATTATGTAAATGTAAACTTAAAGGTACTATTGGTGAATGATTATCAAATAATAATAATAATAATAAAAAATTTAGTGGAGTGAAATGAACAAGATTGTGTAAATATGATAACAAGTTAGAAAAGCACTACTTAAACCTAAGTTAAGAGAAATCATAAAAGGTCAGAAATAAGCATTTATCAATGAAACAAAGGAATAGAAGAAGAAGAAAAGAAAAAAACTATGATAGGAATTTAAGGTGCTAATGTTTATGGAGGACCTGTTGGCCTTATTGTAGGCCAAGGTGAACAAGGAGATTGAACATACTTCTTCTGTATACAGAGAGTTGGTCTTCTGGTATTAATTGCAACCGCTCCAGCTACTGATAGAAGACGTAGTCGAGCTCCACTAGATAAATGACTAGGAACGCGGTAAATAACTGAGAACGCCTGATCAAGTTTTATCTGGTGTCCAGTATCTACCAAGTGGGCTAAGACTGCACTATTTACACACTTGGTTACTCCTTTACTCAACCATACAGGTACGTGTTCACGCGCGCATGGATAAAGCCCTCTGAGTACGGCCAATGTAATTAGCTCTACATGAGCAGTTGAATTCATAGATGCACATTGATGAGGCCATCTTTGGTAATTTATCCTTGACTCGCTGTGTGAGTAGTACTGGTTTAGTTGAGAAGTTGAGTACCAGTTTAGTTGCAGGAAATATTCTCTCCACTGCTCTATTAAGTTAACATTTTAGGATGTCAGCTGCAATCTTCCCCCACCTTTGTAACCTAAGATACAAAAGTTTCTTATCTACGGTATCCATCTTTACCCTGTCTCTAGGTATCGACATGTACTTTTTTAGGAAGCTCTTTGGATATCCATTTTCTTGTAGTGTGAATTTCAGCTTACACTTCTCTTCCTTAATGCATTCCTCTGAAGATTTGCGCTTTATTCTATAGCTAAAACATTTAAATAAGTTTCTTTTCTATTGAACCGGTGTGAAGCTATGAAAATGGGTGTACTGACCCGTCCGACGACGTCTAATGGATTAACGTGAAGTTATTCTGCTTGATGATGAATAACAGTGGAATCCAGGACGAGCGATTCGTCTTATTTGGGACTCATCAACTGTATATACTTGTATTCCTCAGTGAGTGATGGTGTTCCCATTGGGACTCGAAACCTACACCCATCGTCTCAAATGTCACAGCATCATCCACTAGGCCACGACAGCCGCAAGATCCACCTCTTGTGCAACGGGAATCAATTAAGGTTTGTTTTTAGGTAAGTTTGCATGTATCACTCATTGGAAATAAGGGTGCATTCGCCTGACGAGTCAAAAATAGCGCGAAATGCGCATCCTGGATCCCATTGCTAGTTGCTGCAGTCAAACTATACCTGGTACGGTTTAAAATTCGTTAGCAATTGTTGAAAATGTATACTGTTTGTTTTTATTCTATAGAATTTCAAATTGGAAGTTGTTAGACCTGAAGATGTTGGCAAATTTTTCCGTGGTGATTCATATATTATATTGCATACAGACAAGCTTGGAGAGGAATTAGTATATGATGTTCATTTTTGGATTGGAAGAGAAAGTACAGCAGTAAGTTATGATGAAGGCAGTTAATTATTTGGGATTTTTTGTCATCACCATTGTGAGTTGACTTTTAAATAATTTGGTTGGTTTGCTTGATACTATAAATGGCAATGAAGAAAGCAGGCAAAGATGCATGGCGCAATATACTACTGATATGAGTGGCTGAATAACACTCATATCAAGCAATGTTGCCAGCTAGCCAGATCTCAATGATGTATGTGTGGGATCTTATGATACTTATCAGCTACCCGACCTTTATAAATGCATTGGGATATGTAACCTGTGATGCATTGGTTAAAAGTTAGGTTTATGCACCAATCAATATCAGTTATATGTTATTCGCCCAAGATATGACTATCAGGGTTTCCCAGTCTTTCTATCTCTTGGCGGCCTGCTTAAATCTTGGGCTACCAAATACCTTAATCATTACAAATCATATTGCATCTAATTGCTCACTTCCAATTTTATTTTAAATAATTAAATTTTATTCTAATATGTCCTCAAATCGGATTATTTATCCTCGTGAGTATTTAATATCCTTAAAACCTACTGATCGGAAATGCCACAAAAAAGACAAAAAAAAGCATCACGCCGGGTGGCAAAGAGCCTTAAAAAACACCCCTATTCAATTTATGACCGTTCCTGCAATCATGAGTACTAACTGTCGCTCCCTGCCAGCCAAGATTAACTATCTTCAATCACTTGTGTCTTCCATTATATATCGAAATACTGGGATCATATCACTTCAAGAAACATGGCTACACGATCTGTACGATGACAATCTAGTGTATCTAAATGATTTCAAACTATTCAGACAAGATCGATGCAGTTCTAGGAAGAAACGTGGTGGAGGTGTCGCCATCTTCATAAATTCACAATGGTGTACATCTAATAAAGTATGTTTCAAATTCTCTAATGACAACATTGACTGCCTCACCGTCAAATGTCGACCTAAGCATTTGTCAAAATATAACTACATATACATCTCGAACATTTATATTGCACCTGGATGCAATTCCACTGAATTGTCTTTATTTGCTGATGAATTTACCTCCTTTGCTGCCACCTCCTTCGGAAACTCGTTGTCTATTGTTACTGGAGATTTCAATTCTAGTGATCACAATTTCCTTATTTCACTTGGTCATGATAACATTGTCAACTTCCCGACTCGAATGGATAATATTCTAGATCTTGTGTTCACAAATGACATAGGAATATTTGAAGCTCGGAAAAGAGCCCCACTACTTAACTCTGATCACTGCATCATAAGAGTATTGCCCAAGGTATATGGAAAGCTGCACAAAAGGGTCTTCTCCCACCTTGGAAAGAAAACACAACACAGATGCTATTCACATGATAACATACAGAATCTAAGGACAATGTTAAAAGACACAAACTGGGACCTGTTTACTGAACAAGCTCTTGACAACACAATTAGTAACATAACACATTATCTCAATTTCTGTCTTGATGTTTGTTGTCCTAAAGAGACAATCTTCTTAAAGTTCGACCGTTTCGCGTCATCTCAACTCAAAAAGCTTCGCCGTCAAAAAGAGAGGTTATACAAAATGAAAAATAAATCTGGTGTTAAGAGAATAAACACTTTGATTAAAGCCGAATTACAAAGATTAAATGCTCTCTATAACCAGAAGTTTCTTTCATGTAAATCCTCATCTAATATGTGGAAGCTATTAAAGGAAATCACAGGTGGTAAGCAAATAATGAATGATACTTCTGTCGATGTTGATATGCTAAATAAATCCTTCATATGTATCCCTGCAGATGTTATGATTCCCAAATCTAATAGTATAAATAATGACTGCTTTTCATGTTTTAACACGAATGATGTCCTCAAGTGTCTTCAATCTCTCAAACCTACCCAGTCCCTTGGTCCTGATGGAGTTCCTGCTGTTATCCTTAAGAAGTGCGCTGACATCTTATGTTACCCATTAACTGACATTTTCAATGAATCTTTTTCCAATAGTTTTATTCCTGACTCATGGAAAAATATCAAGGTTGTTCCAGTGCCCAAATCAACAAGTGGACCTACTGTCAAGTTTAGACCCATTGCTATTACCTCACCTTTTTTAAAAGTTATGGAAAGACTTATTTTACTTAATCTTGAACCCTCTTTAAAGCCTTTTAACGACCCCAACCAGTTTGCCTATAAACATAGTAGGTGTACCCTAGATGCCGCTGTAGTTCTATATCATAATATAGTCTCTAGTTTAGATAGAGGAGCCAAATATGTTCGGTGTGCCTTCCTTGACTACACATCTGCATTTGACTCTGTACCTAGGTCTCTCTTGTTAAGTAAGCTTGCTGCAACACAGAGTGAGAGCTGGATAAATAAGTGGTTGTATTCCTACTTTTCTGATAGGAAGCAGTACACTGTCTACAATGGAAAGTCCTCCTCTACCTCACTTACTTTAGCTGGTGTTCCTCAAGGTGCCGTTCTTTCTCCTTTTCTGTTTTCTTTTTTCTTACATGACTTGCCCCATTCTGATGTAGCCACTTTTGTCAAGTATGCTGATGACCTCTCTGTCTCCATGCCTGTCAACTCTCAGTCAGACTGTTCCATATTAAATAACTTTCTCTCGGAAATTAGTCAGTGGTCCTCTTCAAACGGTCTTAAGCTGAATCCGTCTAAATGTCAGGTAGTAAATTTTACTTTCAGACGAAAAAGTGACCTTCAACAACTAGCTAGCTCACATGGTCCCACTATCATAGACGGCATAGAGGTTGAAACTACATCAGATGTCAAGTACCTTGGACTGAGTATTTCCTCCGATCTTTCCTGGTCCTCTCACATCTTGTTAGTGACTAGAAAGATGTTTCGCTTAACGTTCTACCTTAGGAAGTTTAGGCAGTCTGGTATAAAGCAGTCTTTACTTTCTCAGTTTGTCAATTCCTGTATTCTACCCATCCCTCTTTTCTGCTCCCCATTAATCTTTCCAGGACTACTTAAGAAAGACTTTGCTTCGCTGCATAGGGCACTAAAAGCTGTTAGTAGGGGAAGTGGGATATTGTTAAACCAACTGGTTAACACCATTGTGGATAGACATATAATGTCATGTAAGAAACTAGCGAATACTATATTGTCAGACCCTGAGCATCCTCTCTATACACAGCTCTCTCCTTGCATATCATCTGGTTGAACTAGAAGTAACTATAGGAAGCTATATGCCAGGACTACCAAGTATAAAAACTCCACAATACCTTATCTGGCACAGCTGTTATGTGATGAGAAAACTGTTAGGCATGACATGATCAATTTACTGCGGCACTCTAACAAATAGTTCCCATTAGCTTTTGTTCTCCTTTCTTTGTTACTATTATATTGCTGCTCATATATTCTATTCCATAATGGATAAGAATTTATTTTTAAATCACACAGTGTAGTACAGTTATATTAACTGATGACGTTTCGAGCACAAACTATTGCTCATAATCATATCAAGTTGATATGATTATGAGCAATAGTTTGTGCTCGAAACGTCATCAGTTAATATAACTGTACTACACTGTGTGATTTAAAAATAAATTCTTATCCATTATGGAATTATACTCTACCACAGTGCCCAAGTTTTATACTTATATCAATCATATATTCTATTACAGACTAATTTTATATATCGTATCCTGTGGTGCACTGTTTAAATATGTGAATGTAATGCTGTTCTTTTTTATTTTATTTCTTTTATTTCTCCTTTTCTTTTTGTTGTTGTTGCTTTATATTTCTAAATCCTTATAAAATTTATGAGGTAATTAGATGCAATATTGTAATGAACGCTGAAAATTCCATACCTGTACCACAAATACTGTTTGGAATAAAGCCATTATTATTATTATTATTATTATTATTATTAACTTTGCCATCGATGACATTCTGGAGTTAGCCCTAAAAGATGCGCGTGGTAGCGGTGTAGATCTGTTTCCTGGAGAGAGATTTTTCGACCTCAAGTATGCAGAAGATATCATCTTACTGTGCAATAGCACTTAGGCTGTCCAAATTGCACTTAGTCAGTTGGAGATCAGTGTCTGCAAGTATGGTATGCGCTTTGTGTTGTCTAAATAAAAAGTCCCGTTAGAAGATTGACAGGACTCTATACCTGCACTCACTGTTTCAGTCAATAAGTTCGTGTATGTGGATAGTTGTTTGAACGCTGGCGGAGATGTGATAGATGAGATTTCCAATTGTATCATGAAAACTAGGGTGGCATACGCCAACTTGAGCCACCTTTGGTGCCATCGTAACGTTAACCTGGCTGCGAAAGGTCGGTTTTACATTGCTTCGGTGCTCGGAGCCCTCGCCTCTCCGAGCCGGGGATATGTGGTGACTCTGTGTATTCGATCATCTCTGTCTCCAAGGGACTGCTTGCGCCCGATGACCCCGTCGTGTGAGTAATTCTGAGGTACAGCGGCGTGTTTTGGAATACAGTGGAGATCATCATTCATTGAGTGTCATCATGTGGAAACACTCGCTTTGGTGGCTTGAACATGTGCTAAAAATATCCTTCCAGAATCTTCCATATCGGTCTGCGCTCGGTATCCTAGAACGGGATGAAAAGGAGAGGAGATGTGGTCAGCTTATGCTATGGTGTCGTGGGATGAAGTATACTTGTCCTAGGTTAGCATCGGTTGATGCGTCATGAGTCCCTGGTTTGGAATCAGCAAGATAACTCGAATCAGTGGCTTAGAACGTTTTCAGATATGGCCAAGAATCGTTATCAATGGGGAACGTGCTGCAATTTACTTCTTTCTCTTCCTGAAAATAATTGATGAATGTTATTTGGTCTCCTAGTGCGTCGATGGCAAAGCGGTAGAATGCTCGCCAACCACACAGGTGGTCCGGGGTTCGATCCTCGGCCGACGAACTCCCAAACCTCGCTAAGCCAGTAATAAGACTGGTAAAGAAGGAAGGTTGGGCATGAGACTAGCGACCCCATCCTGTAAAAATATTCACCACTGCTACCGAAACTTCAAGCCTCTAGTTTGAAGTCGCTCTATGTTCCACTGGGAACGTAAAGGAATGAAAAAAATTAGGTCTTCTTAAATATAACTGCTTCCTTCCCAGACTAAGTCTTTATTGATTCTTTACCCATTTTTTCATATGTTGTTGTTTTATTATTATTGTGTGATGCCTATATAGTACCAGATTTTATAGTTTAAATTTAAAAAATAATAAATGGCCATCCCTGCCAATCATATCGTAGCAACCTCAAGCAGTCTAACTTTCACACTTATACCTAAATATGAAATGAAATAAGCATTTCTCCTGTTTCTACAGAGAATCTACAGAATTATCTTTCAAAAACAGCTTAGAACTTGGCTTTCTATACAATGGCATGACTTCGAAGAAATAAGGAGGTAAAGCCTAGTAGTAAAGTCTACCAAACATTGGTAGTTCACTAATGCAGTCGTCTCACTAAGTCTACTAAGTATAAACATATTTGAATGGTTCCAGGCTATGCAACCCAGTGACATAGTTCTAAAGCTTACCTGGATTGAACTATCTGAGTTTCTCAAGAGTGATTCTTTCCTACCCGACTGTAAAACAAATATTAGACCTCAGTAAAGTGACGCAGAACGCGTCATTGGTTCAGTGAAAGGATGCTCATCACGTGGTTCAGAGCTCGACTTTTGGATGACGCACTCCTAAATCCCGCCTAATTTACTACCAGTAGATAGCAAGCCTGGGAAAGAGGAAAGCTTAGGACTGAGGCTAACATCCTCTCTCCATAAAACTTCAAGGCTAAAGGCTTGAATCCCTATTTTCCACACACGGAACATAAAAGAGTGGGTACTGATATAAACACGTTCAGATTTCATCTTGGCAGTTATGTGGATACCAAATATACTTGCAAAGTTTACAGCGTTTTCCTTTCAAGAACAGTTAAATTGTATAAATGCTTTACACTTTAGGATGAATATGGAACAGCAGCGTACAAAACCGTGGAGTTGGATACTTTTCTTGATGATAAAGCAATACAACATCGAGAAGTTGATGGATTTGAATCGGAATTATTTAAAACTTATTTTAATCATTTTGAGTAAGTCTTGAATTTTAATTTTATTACTTTTAAACGAATACATTGTTTCAGAAATTAGTCTTTCCCTCCACAACCACCACTCCCCGCCGTGCCCACAGGTGGTATTCAAAAGTGATTATATTTTGAATGTGTGCCGTTGATTTTTTACTGGTTAGTATTCATCAGTAAAGTATACCATAAATATTATCAATCCTCCCAATTAGCAAGTCAGAATTCGAATGATCGGCTTTCTGAACTGAGTCAAATTGGGTACTAATATGACCATCAATATCACCTAGCAAATTTACGAGTCTATTGTACTAACAAACTTCCAATGTAGTAGACTTGCAAGCCTTCTGTTCTAATTACTATTCGCAACAACAATCGTGACATGATACTACCGACACATGATGTAAGAAAGAAAAGAAAGAAGACAGACTGTCGAGAAGAGAGCTTTTACTGTCTTAGTCAACAGCGATTGCGAGTTTGATTGCAATTTCGCATCATATATGTAAGGTTTTGAATGACCTTGAGGGGTATTAATTTCATTGATAAGTTAAAACAATCAACAAACAGTAGAGTTTAGCCATTATAATGCGTTAGGGGGGGCGGGGAATACAAACATCGCTATACTGTAAAAATAAAGACAGTATTTTAAGGCATCGCGCGTCAGGCCAACGCTCGAGTGGAACCCGAAAGGGAATCAGCGAGTGGGACGTCCAAGGGTGACATGGAGGAGATCGTGTGAAGAAGAGTTGAAACAGTATGGAATAACACGGATGCAAGTGAAAATTACAGCACAAGACAAATGCAAGTGGATATGTGCAGTTGAAGCCCTATCTTCCACTAGGAACCCAAGGGAACAATAATAATAATATAATAATTTTAAGGCTATTTTGGAAAAATTACGGGTGTGCATAACAGGCACACCACTGATGAACTCGATCTCAAACGACAGAGAAGACTATCCAGTGTTTAGATCACAACGATTTGATACTCGTCACTTGAATAACAGGTGTTCTAGATATATCGATCCACGCAGTTTCAAAACACACTCTACTGATGTCCACTCGTAACCTAATACTCCATGCTTAACTTAGATATTACTCACCATATTATATCACTTGACACAGGAGATAGAAAGCAAATATCTGTGGGTGATAACAACTAGTCTTTTCATATGTTTCACTTTCAATGACTACATCTCACATCCATAAAAAAGGACACATGTTGAAATTGCTGCGCTATACACACGTCTTTTGTTGACTGACAGTTGTTGGAGTAATAAAATAATATTGTTTACAATTAATTTAATTTTAATCACATGTCAGTGATGATTAGTTGATTTACTCTACTGTGATCATGTGATTGTGTGAGTACTTTTAATGCCTGGTAAAACAGAGAGAGAGCATTGAATCAACAATAAAAATAGTAATAATAATACCGCCACCCCCCCCCACCAGGTTGCGGGGTATTATTTAATCTAACTGAGCAAGAAAATTATTTTTAAAAAACACAAATAAACGACATACTTTTACTCTACGTGGAGTTCTGCATTCCAGCATCATCATCAGCTTACGTGTTACTCTGTGATTTAAAAGAAAAGTCAATGAGGGTTATGTCTCACTGTGCTTGTGTGTGTGTGTGTGTGCGTGTGCGTAAACAACTATGTTTACGTGGATGCCTACGACTACCTGAAGCCCCAACGTGTCAATCCGACTCTACTACCACTAAGCAGGCATGCATACAAGCATGAATGATACATGCACGTACAGAAATCCAATTAGAATCACACAGAAAAGAAACTTGTTAACCGGATTGATTGATTGATTGGTCTGATAGTTCACTATTCTGTCTGTCTTATGCTTCACATGAATATAATACATCACAGTAAGACTACACCATTAAATTACACTATACTCTACTATACTATACGACACTGCACTGGCTTGGCTTGGCTTGGCTCTCCTTAACTTTGAGTATACCATCACTTGAGTAATATGCATCCAGTTGATAGATTACCAAATGAATTATTATTAAATATATTTCAATATCTTAATGGTAAAGACTTGATCACATGTACATTGGTCAATGAACGCTGGAATTATGTAATCACAACTGATCAATATTTATGGTTCCCAATATATGAAAAAGAAATGAATAATCATTTGCTATGGTTAAATAGAGACATTATAAACCTATTAAATTCATTCAACTTATTAAATGAACAGCCAACACCAGTTAACATGAATGAAATCGAAGAAAATAGTCCTGGAAGACAGCAGAAGAAGTATCGAACAGTTATTGATTTCATTACAGAGCTATTAGATAATCCTGCATGTTTTATGAAACATTTATATGCATATTATAATGAACAGGAAACCTTACAACAACAACAACAACAAACTTCAATTATTCCGCCAATTTCAAAGTTGAACATTGAACCGGTTTGTTTAAATTGTATCCTATTTGGTCCAGCTATAGATACGGTACATTTATCTAGTGGATTAATGCAAACTATATTAAATTGGATAGATTTAAGTGTTATATTGAATAGACCAACAGTTAAAGTGAATGCAAAACAAATGTCAACATTTTGGGCTGGTAAAGGATTTCTACTTCGATTACCCAAAACTTGTGATGAAGATCAGAGCAGTAATCAGAGTAGTATACTGTTGAATACAACAATTCTACATTCACGTAAACATATGGAACGTATGAGATATTCTTATGGTGGTAGTCGATTATTTGACAGTCTTTTAATTGAATCAGCTAATGGTGTTGACACCACCACCGGGGAACAAGTATTCAATGTGAATCTTACTCAAAATGCAATGAATTCAATTAGTACATCTGAAATTGTATTTTATGCTATTGATATACGTAAAGAGGAAAGTCCAATGGCGCCTAATTTAGATAATCCTATTGAATTGATAAATCCGTATCATTCTGAGATAGAAAGATGGAATGAAATACGCTTAGAATTGAATGCCTTAACTCGCTGTATGAATTCAGAACAAATTTTACTGGTTCTCGGTATTGGGGATCAAAGCAACAAAGAGAATAATTACAATCTTATTGAAATTGCTATAAATCTTGGTTGTGGTTATCCGACAACTGGAGTTGACGACAATAACACCAGTGGACGCGGTACAAGTTATCATGCAAACACTATTAGACCATTGGATAAACCTGATTTAAACTGGAAACTTTGGTGTACAGCATCTAGTGGATCAGTATATACAAATTTAGAGGAGATCTTCTCATGGACAGCTATGACACAGCTGAAAAATCGTCTACTATTTCAACGTCAAAAGATTCTTAAACAAAATCGGAACTACACAAGATTGTATAACTAATTGTTATAGACTGCTGTTTGTATAAAAAATTAATATATCCCGTTATTTGTAGATTTACTGCTTTCCGTTTGGTTTTGTAGGGATTTTGTTTGATTGGATAGAGGAGTTCATCATAAGCTGACATCAGTTAGAGGAGCACTGCAAAACCTGGGAGTACTGGACAGCTGTTTCGTCATAGTTTGGGACTCTTCGTCAGTACGAACCCACCACTACTGTTCAAACCCAGGACCTACTGGGTGGGTTCGTACTGATGAAGAGTCCTAAACTAGTACGAAACAGCTGTTCAGTACTCTCAGGTTTTGCAGTGCTTCTCTAAATGATGTCAGCTCATGATGAACTCCTCCATCCAATATATATACGTTTATCTACACAGAATATTCTAGAATAGTAGTCAATAACAATATTAGTGTGCTTTTTAAATAATGTCGATTTGTTAAGTAAGATCACAATGGAATCACAGTTCATTAAAAATGCCTAAATAATAATAATAATAGAAAATATAGTGGCGAATAGAATATCAACTAAAATTAAGGAAATTTCTACAAAAAGTTGAGTCTCATTCGAACCTAGATGGCCAAAGTAAGTAAGGACAATATCTGAACTAGCATCTTTTAGACACATAAATTAGGCTTCTTAATATGGATCCCAACGGCCGGCCTCAGCAATATTTAGTTAATGGTGCAGAGTTATAAAAATGCTCATGTACAAGCAAGGTTTACAGACTACCATCGTGTGATGTTTGGACTGTTCACTCAATTGATTTCCTTCGGTTCCATTCTTTTCGAGTTTTTCAGCCTCTGTGATTGGCACCTCGAGATCAGGGAGATCTTCGTCATCGGAATCCAGGTCTCTGAGGGAACATACTAGAGAAACTATATCCATCCATATCAGGTTCGGAGTGTCATCCTTATCTTTTCAGAGGCTGAAATCGATCTTTAGCCAGGCGCATCTAGTCTTCTGAGAGAGAAGCTGAGGCCATGAGCCTGGTTCTTTCTTTTTGATACACAGTACAACTTCACGACCGGATGCAGAAATTTTGGGGTCTTCTGTGTACATTGGTCCGTAAAAATCAGGCTTCACTTCGTAGTCAGTCTGTTTGTCTTTGCCAGCATTAGCTCTGAACTCCAATGCCTGATCTTTGACATTGATTATTTTGTTCTTTATATCAGTGAGACTTATTGTGATAGACAAGCAGTCATTTCTCTGAGCCCACAAAACCGGAAGTTCAACAGCAACTGAGTGATCACTCGACATGTGGTTTTTATTTCAACTGTGGAAGGTTTTATCTGCTTTCAATTAATTAATGGTGACAGGCGGTAGAATCCACGAAACATGTTTCGTTTTGTTCAGGACTTGTTAGGTGGATTTAGCTGAATCCCAATTGAGTAATTGTATGAATGCACTAGGATTCGAACCTAGTACTTGTCATTCCAGAGTGACTCCATCGATGAGCGGTTGTTTCGTTGGACATTTAGGATCCATTCGATGATGATGCTGGAATCATTCTCTTATCTTTCTGACCTTTTCATTTTGAGAACGGTAGTTTTACCCCAGAAAATTTCACACTAATTCTCATGTAACCTTTCATATAAACAGAGAAGAAATAGCATTGTAAAGAAATTTCAGAGGTAATTACTACCAAAAGGGAATAAAATCGTCGTG